AGAGAGAGAGAGAGAGAGAGAGAGAGAGAGAGGGGGGGGTATAAAGACAGAAAAATTGAGAAAGAGAGAGCAGGCGATAAGGGAGAATTTGATGAGGATGCACCGCAGTGTGTCTTTGATAAGTATGTTAAAGGCCATTGTATTCACGTGTTCAGTTTTGTTTCATTGATAATATTCTAAAGTGCGCAGAGCCATATTTGGAATGGGCATAAAATATTACATTACTTTATAATCTTATTCTACTGCTCCGGGAATTCCGATTATAAAAAGCGAATAGGAATCCGTAGATTCTTAGTCCTGCTAGGAAAAATGAAAGAGATCTAACGCTTTTCAGAGCTGAATAAGTCAGAATCCCACTTCTCCACACCCCCCCCCCCCCCACACTTTACCCCAGAGTACGACACTCCTATTCCCATACCCCTTCCCCCTAAACCCAATTAGCTACTTTATTCTAAAACTCCCCCTGCCACGTTTCATAAGTGTATGCCTTTCCAACTATGGATTCAACTTTTGTCTGAGCTGAGTCTAAGAATTTGCTTTGGGACAGGGAAGTTGTCATATTTTTCACCCAAACACACATTTCACTGAACTGCCTACTCATACACATTCCCATTCGTCCTTGCCCTGTCCCATCCCCCTACACTCCCATACTCAACCAATAATTAGATCAAGCGGAAGATTACTAGTGCACTTTATCTTTACGAGAGAATGATTCTCTGGTCCCTCTCTACTTGACGGCCTTTCGCTGTTTCTGTTTTACTTGATGGTCTACTAGTCTACTGCAATCCACAACCCAATCCCTAACCCTATCCCTAACCCAAACCCTAAACCATTGTTAGTGAGAGGTAGTAGTCCAGAAGACCACCGAGTGGAACAACTGTCAGGTCGGTCAGGTTGAGGACTATCACGTAGAACAGAACCATAGCAGTGGAGCATCAAGTGGACTGGCAATGGTCATTTTATGACCAAAAAAGTTATACAACTGGGCACAATAAAGTAAAAAATAACAAAATCCACACAAGGACTTGAAGTGAATTAATGATAACAATAAGAAACAGAAATGTCAATTTTGTTTTACTATGAATTCTGAGTTTTCTGATAGGTCAGTTTGCCAAGTGGTCCCCGACATTTTTAAGGAGATTATTTTGAAGAGTTATCACAAACCCTGTACCTATCTGAAAAGGTCCAATCAGAGAAGAGATTATATTAACAATACCACCAACAAACATTATCATCTTACAAAATTTAGAGTCAGACTGTCAGTACAATACTATAAGACAGCACTTAGAGAAAAGAAGATGATGAATTTATATAAAATTGTTAGAAGAAGTTCTGAACATTGAGACAATGCCTTCCCACCACCCACAAACAGATAATGATACGTAATACAAGAAGACTGTCTGGGAAAAAGATAGACACCATGAAATGAAAGACCAAGGCTGAATAGCATTCACATTGTTTGTACAGTTTATTTACACATTTACTCATTTTGGCAGCAGACAATAAAAAAAACAATGAAGACTTTGCATAACGTCATGTGATATCATTGTCCTATTCAGACTCATTCCAAAACATAAAAGACCAACTCTGTGCAATACATAATGTATGGCATATCAAGAAATTCTTCAGGGTAAAATTGACAATCACTCTGTGAATATGAGAATTATAAATGACTATATATCACTTACAAGGAGATGAAGATTTTTAGACAACACCAGCAGTAAGCATAATAACAAATTGGCAACTCACAGACTACACAAAACTTTCTTATTCTATATTTGCACTTCATTTTGAGCAGTCTTTTCATCTTTCCGACCCTCCAATAACCCTAGTTGACGTCAATGTGTCATGAATGGGTTGGGTAATACAGAGAAAGTAACAGCAAACAATAGTCTCAACAATTTCATTTCAAATATTTGATAATCCACCAACTAGCTAGAATGCTCTCTCTGCTTTAGATTGAAACAAATCTGAGCCCATGACATGACACCATCATTGACTAAACAGTTCACAAAAGGAGGAAGACTCACAAGTGAGCTGAGACACGTTATTTGTAATAAATTAAAAAAACAGAATTAAGGTGCTGTAAAATGGCGTTAGGTAATGCTGACATGCGATAAAGTCTCAAAATAAATATCATTGCTGTCACATGAAAAATGTTTTAACTACAATTAACTCTGCTTTGCAGGATAAGAGAAAAAAACAACAACCAAGAGTTACTCATTTTTCTACCAGTAGCAATGACATGTCTCAGCACATGTGTATTGTGTGTGCGCCTATGGGTGTGTGTGCTGTTGTGAGTGTGCCTGTTTGTCTTGGCCCCTGTATGCGTGTATGTAGGGAGGGGGGTACAGAAGAGCGTTAGGGTGCACATAGGAAAGAGCATGGTATGTATGTGTATGTGTCTGACAATGTATTTGGTATGAATTGAAAAGCAAAGTCAGTTCTTAAACATCGACAGCCATCGAGTCCTGCCCACCAAAAAAAACTTTCCCTCTGTCCCATTCATCCCTGCCATTTCCATAACGGGGTCAGTCTCCTGACCAGTTTGTTTCCACCAAACCCTTTGCCAGTAATGTTCATGATCATCCCCCAGATAGAAGTAGACATGCAGACAAAAGTTTGGAGTCTATTGTTGGGGCATAATTGGCTGTAATTGAGCATGTCTCAAAGGCAGATTAACTCCACGGGTGATAGCTTCATACTGTAATCCTTGTCGCTTGCGCTCCTCTGAGAGCCAGTAGAGCATCTCTGTCCGATCCCAGCGCATCTTGTCTAGGTATGGCCGACCCTAGAAGTGGAGAAAGAAACATGTGGAGACAGATAACAATTTTTTCCTACACACTCAACAAGAAAGATGTCCCTTTTGACTATTTTAACGGCCACTTTCATAAAATTGTACATCTGATGATGTGGAAAAAAAAGCTCTGACTTCTAAAAAAATCCCTTCTAAAAATTAGTGAGAAAGCCATAGGGAGATATGGAGTAAATAGAACAATGTATCATTTCTTTTTTGTTCTACTGTCCTTTGATAAATCGTTCTCTTTTGAAGGATTGTAATGTCATAATACTTTTAGCAGCAACAACTAAATAAATCATCACTTCGTAATATAATCATCCAGCAATTTTTCCAAAAGAAACTAGTACTCTCCAAAATGTCACAACAATGAAATTAAGTTTTTTGAAATTTCAAAAACACATTGCGATTGAACTTGATAATCTTCAAAACACCAAAATATGTCACTACTTTGTTACAAATTTTTAATCTCCAGCAAATTAATTTTTAAAAAGCCTACATTCTTACTACTTTAATTTTCCCATTACCTTCAAAATGATTCATCTATGAACAGTAATATTAAATTCCCCTTTCTTCAATGATTATTTTCTCTTTGGGGTGTTCCTTGCAACTGGGCTCCAAATTCTAACTTTCTATATCTGAGGTTTACCCCATTTCACCCTTTCTGACTCTCATCTCTCAGACTTACCTTGAACGTAATAACATCCTGGAATTGGTCCTTTATGTATTCAATCTCTTCTTTGATCTCAACATCCAAGGCATCAATTTTCTGTGAAAGAAAAAGCAAAGGATAGTTGCCTAAATAGGAAATGATAAATTTAATTCTCATCAAAACAGTTGAATTTAAATTACAATCATTTAAGCAGACATCTAAACACTTCCAGCATATATAATATGCAGGAGAACAAAGTAAACTGCAATCAATTCAAACATGCAGATCTTCTTGCTGGGCAGCTTCATAACAAAACTTACGCAGCTCCCTTGCTTTTGAAAGAGACTCTCAATGACCAGGTCAACGACACGCTCCAAAGAAACACACATTTAAAACATGCTTACCTGTATTATTTGTTGTTACGGCAGCACATAGGTAATTATTATTCATTAGTTCGTCACGTGCATACTAGCTGCGCATACAAGCGTGGTCATCTTGTTTTGGTGCACTTCACCGAACAGACCATTCTGATCATTCTGGATCAACATCATTCTAATTTCGAAATTATATTACTTTTTGTGATCTCCTTTTTGGATTTATTGTAATGACAACCAATGCTGACTTTATTCAAGTTGGTGAACATTTGCTTACGGAGGTTCTTGAGACAGTAACAAAACAGTTAAGGAGACTTGAATCCAGACTAGATCTAGCTGATCAACCGGCTGCTCCTTCAGGCGCTAATGTCAATACCGACACGGACAATGTCTTACAATCCAGTCTAGAACCTGTAAACCTTTCTCCCAGCTCCGACGCTTCAGCCCCGCCTTCCATGGATATTCAGAGGCAGTTTAAATGTGTTAGAGATAGCCTCAATCGAATACAGCTTCCTACAAGTACCAAAGTGAACGATAGCCAGCAAGGTATTAAGTCGGACTGCAAAGCCACTTTGAAAGTTGTGTCAAAGACAGCACGTTTCGCAGAAGCAGGGTTGAAATTACTTTCTGGTAAGACCCCTGATGAATTGGGAAACTTTATTGTTTCTCCCACAGATTTAGATAGACTCTACGTTATTTTTTTGTAACTTAAATTTTCTAAGATTGACTTTTTTATGAACCTGTTTTCAACAACCACTTGATCACTATAGCAAGGAACCTACTTTCATCAATCACTTCTCAATAAAAAAGAAGAGGGGCCATTTTTTGGAGTAGGATATTACAACAGCCCAGTACAAAAATGTGGGTAAAAAACCAAGGTGGCCAGGGGATATGAATAATGCCCTGTCCAATTCAAAGTGCGTACAACTCTTCCACTGTTGGAGCGTCCCTTTTTACACAATACCCATGCCATATCTTTTGACTACAGAGAGCTGGAAAATAACCCTGGTTACTCTAGTTATACCACACACAAAAACAAAATTCATCAAGAGGTTTGAGAAAACTTGATCGTGTCACTGCAAACCTTTGAAGAAAAGGACAGCATTCAGTATAGGTGTTTCACAGCGCTTCTTTTAACAGCTGAGCTACCACCATGATTCTCCCTCCAGGAGGTTCACATGACTTCACATACACACACACAGTTGAACCAGTATTATTAACATAAACAACAACAGTAACTCCATCAGTGAAAACAGCAACAACAATGATCAATTATTTTTTTTAAACACAGTATCATATAGAGCCACAACCCAACCTAAAGAAAAACAACATTATGAACTCAAAGAAAAGAATTGAACTTGTGCTTGAAAGTAAAGCTCAGAATAGAAACTTGACTGCAAATCTCGGAACAGATCACAGAAGTGATTCACACCTCAAAAAAGTATCAACTGTTATTTCTACCTCACTTTCATATTTTCATTTTACGAAAAACTAACTAAACATTTCTGTGATCAAATTATTAAGCTGGTTTCAAGAAAAGAGACTGAAGTAACAAAAAGTGGAGAGCACATAAAAAAAACAGACCAAAAAAATAACCTGGTTTGACAAGGTTCTGAATGCTGTCACGACATTTCAACAGCAGTGAGAGTAAAAGACACACACAAAAAAGAGAGAAATTAACCTTGGAGAAGTAAGTCCTCTTTCTTGATTCTTCAAGTCTGTAAGAACTCTTCTTGGAACCTAAAAAGATTAATGAAAGAAGAAAAAAGGAGTTAATATTTCAAGGTCAAAACTTAGTCAAAATATTAGATTTATAAAATCAGGAATTTCAGTTTGGAGAATAGCAACTTCTTCACAAAATAATATGCTCAAAAAACTATATTTTCACATCAATGGGACCAACGTCTGTGGTATTGTAGTAAAGTGTTTTGCCATCATACACAGGATACTTATGTTCAATTCTTGTGCGGGGAGCATTTTTTGTGAGTCTCTCAGTTTTTCTGGTGGGACATTGTATTCGTCTCAGCCCGAGTTAGCCCTGATGGGCAGGGTCGAAACAAAACTCCTCAATCATTTAAATTGTTGGGTAAATGAGAGCATAAAACACCAACATTAAAACTCAAAAAAGACCATTAACGCATCTTATTGACAAGCTGTTAAGGACAATCTGTAAAGGGAGATAGCTGTTTAAAAAAACAATATGCCCTGTAAAAAAACAAGTTATCTTTCTTTCTGCACGTACATTCGAACCTGTGTCAGACAGAATCGCAAGGGAGGCAGAAAAAAATTCCGTCTTACACATTTTCTATCTTAGTCAAGGGAATTTAGTGGGAAGATGGAAGGGGGGTTTCAAAACCCAGCCGGTGGGTTCAAAGGTCGCTTGTCCGGTCGGCAAGCAGTCACATGTGGTCAAAACTTCACACCTTTCAGCTGATAATCCTCTTTGATAATGACATGTGTCAGTCTTATTTATCCAACTACAACCAGTGCTTGCATTTTGTAGGGCCACTGTTTGACCTATTTAAAATAGAAACGTTTGAACATATCCTCTGCTTCCACCCTTAGCTCCACCCATCGGTGTAATAAGTACAGTCAACCAATGATACCCCTCACTACCATGTAGCAAAATCGAGGAACTCTTTTCTCGGCTGGCCGTACAATCAGGGCGCCAGGCACTGGTCAAACTAATTTCCCACCTCTGGCCTCTGGCTAGCAATGAAAGTTTCCATGCTGGAGCGCCATTTGAGCAATTTCACTGAGCACTGTGAGATTTTACACCCACACCTTCCTGACCATGTTCCTCCCTCAGAGCTCACAAAGATGGGGTAACATATCTACCCTCAAATTGCACCCCTACTCCCCTTCGTCACCCGGCAGCATGGAGTTAAGTTTAGAGCCAACAGAACGAAAATTTGCGGGTGTTGTTTCATACCAGGGCTGAGCTGGCAAAGCAATTTCCGTTTTAGACAGGTAAAACCCTAGCAAGGGAGCGGATTTTTCTTTCTGTTTCTGTGTTGGACAGGTTTTGTTTAATACAGGTGATTAAAGAGGAATATATAAAGAGGGGAGTGGGGAGATTCCGTTAAAACAGGATTCCCTTAAGACAGGTTTCCGTTTTACACAGGTTTCCGTTAAGGCAGGTTCGACTGTATGTCAAAAGGAGCACGACTTCTTGAATAGTTCATTGAGCAGTAAACAACTGAAGCATTATGATCAAATACAAGAAAATTGACACTGAAATGACTAAACTTGTATCCTTGCTAAAAAAGCTCTAGGAATCATGCAATGTCAAAACAAGCAATCAGTACGTTTGGTATTAATGGTATTAGCCAAACATGACTTACCTTTGTGGAAAAACCGATTGGGATCAGAGGCCTGGCGCTCAAATTTCTCCAGCCGGGTCAAAAGTGATTCTCTCTGCAAGATGAGCTCAGCAATGAGTTCCCATCTTTCTATTGCCTGTGAAGCATACAAAAGAACAAATAGTGGCAACACTGTCAGACATCCAAGAATGACTGAGACAAAAATGATTTGTTTTTGTCTATGATGTCTGGACTGTAAAAATTTTTACCCCGATAGGAAGATGATTAATAAAAGTGCAAGTATTACACCTTCACAAGTGGTGAAATCGATAATACACGGCCAAAAGCAATTTTGGTCTAATTCAATTCTAAAGCTAACTATGTACTAATTGCATTAACCGTTATTGAGAAAATGTTTTTACCTCGTAATTGAATTTTTTTCCCTCAGGTCTTGAATTTTTGTGAAAGATTAGAATATAACAAAACCTGCATTCACATAAACACTTGTGCCATTACTCCTCTCCCCAATCAGTACCCCTCACTAACATCAGGCAACAGTGAACACATGAACACACCTCTGCCAGTCTCTCGTAATACTCGTTACAGCTGTACTTGATGGCCATATCCAGGCGCTGGGCATCTGGCATCAGCAGTTGTTGCCACACACTCTCAAGTCTCTCCTGGGGCTGTGGTCCTTTCTTTATCTCCTCTGCAGGCTAATGGAGAAAGAAAGGATAAACAATTTTTTTCAAAATCAAAACCTGAATCAAAGTTTATCTCTTGACCACAAAAATACCAGTTTTATTAATTTCTGACACATCGAAGTAAGTTTTTTGCTTATAGCGTAGGCTAATTTTTCCATTCTTAACTTCAAGAATAAGATCTATAGCACATAACTTTAAAAAGTTATATTTTCCTCTCCATTTTCACCATTGCCTTTATCTATCAAGTCACTTCATTACTGAGAGCAATGTCAGTTTCTAAAAGGCAGTGATAGTTACACACCTCAGAACTGGACGCTGCAACTTCTGAGCCAGCTCCTGTTGTTGCCTTGGACATCCTTGAGATTAAGTCCCTGTAGAGGAAACAAACAAAAGTTTACTGGTCACAGGAGCTTTTCATAAATCAAAAACCTACTTATTTCCCCAAAATTGTCAAAAAACAGCACATTGAAAACAAGATTAAGATAAAAGGACCTAAACAGGCAAATCATTAATACTTTGTGCCCACCAAGAATCATGTTTAACTGAAACATACCAACATATTTAAGGAAATCTGACAAAATATTGCTGTATTTGTGCTAATTTGAAGTGACCTACATGGTAAGTCACAAAAAATCTTGTGACAGCTTTTTTTTTTATCCTGAGAAGAATTGGAAAAAGAAGTTAAGTAACATAGAAGATTACCTTTTCTCAGGCAGCACGCGTAGTTGGTTGGCACGTTCCTGAATGGTGACAGTACGGGTGGACTCCACAGAGCGAGATGTTCTATCTCCAGCTTTCTCTTCTATGTTCTCCTCTGGAAATGTCATAATGTACGAGTCAAAATTCAAAGCAGGCAAATGATTAGACAGACTAATAGAAACACAGAGGCACCATGCACACACCTGCACAAAAAGTACATGATAGCTGATTTCTTAAGAATGAGGTTGGCTTTAATGTAGAAGCATAAAAAGTTTAAAGATTAAGTGCTCAAACATAACAGAGTAACAGTGAGTAACAAACAGTAAAATAATATAGAAGATGAGGAAATTATGCTCTGACATCACCAAGATGCCTAACTCCTCTAAGTGGCTTATCATCAAAAGCCTTTGATATCTATTAGAGGCCATGGGAGAGGGAACGCTTTAACCACAAGCTGGAAAATAATTCTTTCGAGATTAAATCTTATTGAATGGCTAGGTGAGGCCGACATCTCCAGTTTCATGTGCTAATGGAAAGCATGACATTCTGTCAATTCACATCAAGCAAAAAAGAAGACATAATATAATAATATACACAACAACACATGCTAGTCAGGTATGAACTCACCAGCAAGTTCGGGCTCCTTGCCAAGTCCACCCATCAGCACTGCGTTGGCATTCCAGAAACCCTCCTTATACTCTGTCTTGATCTGTTTCAGCTCTGTTATTTTCCGCGCTCGTTCTCTAATGACAAAGAGAGATACTTTTTGTTACAAACAAACAAAACGGTCTGTGTGGCTTGTGGGCCTCAGTATGGAGAGAGCCTTGCCTGGTCCGTACATTGTAGAAAGATACCTAAGACACAAAACTGGCAAAAATCTGTTCTTTAACACTACATTATATGAGTAGAATAACGAAAATCATTACACCCATCTCTAATCATTGAAAACATGCAAGGTCACACAGTATTTCAAAAAACAAAGGCAAACACAAGACACATTTAAAAAGTGTAAAAGAATTTGTTTTCAGTTTTGCTCACTATTTTAAAATAAGTTCTTTAGAAATAAACAAATAATTTATGCTACTGACATAGTATTGAATAAGTTCTAATATTGTTTTTAAAAATTCAAAGAACGTTAAAATTTCATAATATTAAAAGTATATACCATTTTTACACGAGTCTTAAGCACAAACTCCTTTGCTCTTATAGAAAACACCACTGCTTGTGGAGGCCAAATCACTAACTAAATTGATCATAGAAAGGAAGACTTCATTTGCAAGCTTGCATGGTTCATTAATTTTACTTACCCCATCTTAAGTATTTAAAAAATCAAATCTTTTTGTTAATCAGTAAATTAAACACCCACTATATACGGTTTACGTAGTTTCAGAACATGTGGAGCACTTGGCCAGGACAAGAGGTGGAAATGGAAAACCTTCCAGGAAGGATGAGAATAAATTCTTTTCAGTCTGTATTACGCTCTGATGGGGATAAATGTATGCGCTGTCCCAGCAACATAGACCTACCCCATTTTTGGAGTTTAATACAAACAATAGATAAAAATGGCTTCTCTAGAAACAACTTTCAATTTTGTCGGTTACAAAACTTTTCCATAACACTAAAAGGCCATCATTAGATCTGGATACTTCTCTTTAGCTCGTTAACACTAGTCAAGTACCGTGACTAACCTCTGCTCCGATGTCACTTTACTCCTCGTGCTGTTCTGTTGTGTTGTTGTACGGGAGAAACGACGGGCCCTGGCTGTTAACTCTTCATCCTCCGATTCACTTTCCTCTCCAGAGTCATAAAAATGGAACACAGCCCCCATGTAATCAGATTCCTGAGCACAAGGTAAAAGAAAGGAGCTAAGGTCAGAACAAATGCTACATTCAGGAGAAAATAAAAGTTTTCTAGCGAGAACAAAAGCAAGTAGGCCCTTTACACCGAGAACAAAAGTTGCAAGTAGGCCCATTATACTGAGAACAAAAGCATTTAGGAGTACGCTAAACTTTTACTTTGAGAATAAAAGTTGAATTCAGGAGTAAGAAAAAGATTTTAACCAAGAACAAAAGTTGCTACCTGGCGTAAGCAAACAATTCAGGAGATATGGCATAATCATCATACTGACTAGTATTGTGATAAAAGCATACAAGTTACCTACTAATTGCTATTACTTCATTAGCTCCAAAACCATTGTGCTAACGATAATACTATTTTACATCAACAGTTATGAGAAAAAAATGTAAAGAGAGATATATAAACAAACCATTTGTGACCGTTCTTGTCACCCTGGTACAATTTGATAATTTTTACCTTTGGTAACCTCTGACTCTCATGGCTTTTCTTGTCTATTTGATTTACATTTCATAGTCTATTATACAACGTGAGACACAAGTATTTTCAGTTTTATGATGAGAAGGAGAGAGAGAGAGAGAGAGAGAGAGACAGAGAGAGAGAGACAGAGAGAGAGAGACAGAGAGAGAGAGACAGAGAGAGAGAGAAAGAGAGCCTATAGATCCTTTTTTCTACTTATTCATTCCAATAAAACCCAATCTCCAACAAGACAATGGGAATCAAACTGGGCCAACTGCAGTTGTGGGATCACCATAAAACTAATTTCCAGATGGCATTAAAGTGATCACTCAAACTTTTCGTTTTTGCCATTTCCTCATATCCATATTATCGAGAAGTTTTTTGTTTCATCTCAAATAAATGTCTTCCCACCTCTGAACTACTTTTCTCAAGCTTCCACATAATTGACGTAACACTCAAGCAATAACAGGAAGTCAACAAAGTTAAATTAAACAATCTCTTCATCGTCTCATAGTTTGTTTAGCTTTATCTCTCTATTTATCTCCTTCAAAATGTCTGTCTATCTACTCCTCTCTCTCTCTCTCTCTCCCCCTCTCTCTCCCCCCCACTCTCCCTCTCTTACTTTCCCATTTTATTTCTTTCCCACTTTGTCTCTGTCTAAGGTAAAGATATCCATAAAATTATACTATCTATAAAAACAAGTAGCCTTGATTTCAAGAGATCAACAATAGCCCACAGAGTTTATTTATGATATACAAACGAACATTCTTCCTACCAGAGTGGAGAGATATTTCATGTAGTCATCACTGGACACAGTTGACTTCCACCACTGCAGCCAGGAGGCATAGGTTCGAGACATTTTGTCTGCCACGATGTTGGGCATGCCCTCTACCGACGTCATCATCTGATTCATCTGGGCCGGGTTGTGCATTGTTTCATTGATCTTTGCCATGTTGGGTGTCTACATGGGAAATAATCAGGGAGGGGGAGGGGGGGGACAGCAGAGAGATGGTAAGTATTGTCAAAAAACAAAAGTTTTTAAACCACAGCCGTGAAGTTACATGACCCTAAAAAATAAAAGTGAACTGAAAGTTGTGAAGGAACTCTCAATTCAGAACATGACACAGCATAACTTTACTTTAATAAATCAAACTGAGCCAGCGCTTTCAAGGTAGATTTAAGAGGTTGCAGAAAGACTGTTTATTAGACTGACAATATTTTAACCAGAAAGTTGAAAATAAAATATCTAATCAGTTTACTTTATTTTTCACAGAGCATCTCTAAAAGCATGATGGTTTCGATTGACTGTAACGTTTTACACTCCCCATCAACACAACTTAGATCATTTCCAAGACAAGCTATTTTGACCCTGCCTGACAGGTCAACCAAGGCCTAGTGGGATCCATCATAACAGATGGAGATACTCGATATAATAACTTTCCCACGTAGAAGTTGAGCTCAAATGTTCTGTATGCTTTAGCACCATTATACCAAAGTTGCCAGTGTGAATGTTCTAAAATTCTAAATCTCTTATAAGCAATTACTTTTTTTAACCCCTTCGTAACAGCTCCCGTAACCGTACGTCCAACATTGAGTGCCAAAATGCAGTCCTCCAGTACAATATATTATATATCATAAAATCAGCCGATTAAGGCAATTGCATGGACCTTACTATGCACACCGTACGGGATTTTATAACTGCACTACTTTAGCTTTGAACATCCAGAATAGCAAAAATTGGGTGGAGTAAAGGTTGGAAAAAACATACGTCACAAAGCGGTTAACTCCATGCAAGCAAGTAACCTAGAAGTTAAAAGCTCATCAAAGGACATAATTAATTTTGAAATACTCTAAAATAATTAATCTTGCATGAAGATGAGAATGCGTGATAGCAGTGTGATCTCTAATCAGGTAAAGCTTAATCATGTCTCTCAGAAAAAAACACACTTTCACATTTTTGATAATCATGCAATACACAAAAAAGTTAGAGGGATTACTTTGAGTCAGATTTGAGATCAAAATTCAAATAACTTACAACTGGGGAGAATATGTCTTCACCAAGGAAATTCTTTGGTGGATTCACAGGCCTAAAAAGCAAAGAAAAACAGAACATCAATTGTGTAAGGAGCTCATGAAAATTACAGACATTAAACATATGAAAACATGATCATAAACTGTAATTATGGCAGGCATGTTTCTACTTTTTCCAATCCTAAACTACTTAGAGACTCTTACTTTGTAATCTTTCTGTAAGAAAGACAGGTAGCTTTTTAACATTGAGTAAGACATCACCATTATCCTTCTATTTCTTTTCATATCATTTGTTTGGCCTACTAAACAAACATAGGTGATTCTGAAAAGGGACCACTTAGCCCTCCTTGTTACACTGGACAAGTACAATACACCTTTGCATTTCCAGACAGAATTATGTTCCATCCACAAAGGATGAAAAAAAGAAAGCTGGAATTCTAGAAATTTTCTCAAATTAGCAAAATCTTATTCATTTCGAAATGAGCCTAAAATGACAAGAAATTAGAAATTTGCTATTTTCTTACGTTCTTGCCCATTCTTTCATCTGGGCACTCCCCCATGGCGGACCTTTGGCTTTGATGAAGGCAGGGTTGATGACCCTGTCCACCACTTTGCGCGACAGAGAGGAAGATGCCATTGTCCCAGCCACATTGACAGAGTCAGGGGCATTCAGCACCAGAGGGTCCTGCCAAAAATTGAAGAAGTTAAATTACAGAAGTGTACATAACGATGTCATGTGACAAAAAACTCTCAAAAAACCTCCAAACTTCCAAAAGGAATTTTAATAAGGTATGGTATGTCAGCATATACATAAATGTTGTGTTGCCTCCACCTTCTTAGATGAACAGCTGACAATACAAAAATCCCCAATGTCATAAAAAATTATTAGCTTTAACATTGTATAGACTACAGCTATCTGAGGTCTCCTCACAGAGGAACTTAAATGAGGAGGTGACTTCTACCCTTTAACAAAAAACATCTTATTTTTTAATCAACTGAACAATTTAAGCCCCCTAACACATGATACCAATACATTACACTGGATAAGAAACATGCACATCAGCTAGGCATAAAGGTTTAGATATTTGCCTTGAAATCCAGTACATGCTATTCTAAGGAATGGAGTACATGACTCTCTGAAACAGGTTCCATCCTATTGCAAGCAAATGATAAAAACCTGAGTACTAGTACTACATGTACAAGAGGTATTTAAAACCACGCAAAAAACAAAAATTGAGAAGTTTTCACCAGACTAAAGGCAACATCACTTTCAACTTAAAAAACACTTTGAAGAGCATTTCTAGTGTATTTTCTATCCCTTGATAGATTAATAATCCTATTTTTGGCACCTAATATGTGACTGCCTATAAACATGATCATAAAATATCAAGATGCTTTTTAAAATATTTACAAAAAATCTGGCCCAGTTCTCAAGGACTCAGAATTCTAAAAAAATGTTATTATGATCTGGCACACGTGTTTCGTGACTTTATCAGCTGTGTTAAGCATGTCAATGATAATCTTTCACGTAAGTAGAAAATAATAATCTAATATTAGTAAAAACAAATATAAACAAAGGAACAAAAATACCAGTTTCTCCGTAACACTACAAATGCAAATCAGAAACTTAAAAAAAAAAAACCACCCCACAATGTTATTAAAAAGAAAAATATGAAGCATACAAAATATTAGATTATATCTAATCGAGGAGCAAAAAAACCCAAAGTTCAAAGCAGTAAGCATGCATTGCAAGCAAGTTGAATGAAAAAGAGTAAATTGTTTTACAAAAAGCCTTTCATAATCATTAAACAGACAAAAAAATTTCATTCACAAAAGGTAATGCATCATGCACAGCATTTACAAACCCAAGCATTCAAGATAGTGGTTAGTTTAAATAAACTAAAGAAAAGGAGAAATAAAAGATGATGACTTTAGCAAAATAATTTTAAGTGAAGTATGTTGATACAAAGTATGGTGAAAAACAAAACAAAACAAAACAAAATGGTAAAATAATTCCTACTATTCTGGTTTGGATGTTACGAACAAAAACGTTTTTTCTTTAAGAAACTGAAACATGCCAAACTGGTATAAGCATGAATAATAAGCTTGAAGGACAAGTTCCGCCTACAGTCAAAGAGAAGTAAAAGAAAAGTCAAAGAGGCCATAAAGCTTACAACGCAAACACAAACCACTGTTTCAAGCAATACTTGACCACAACAAATCAGCGATCACTGGTTCCTTCACATTTAATCAAGAAAAGGAAGGAAGGAGTCATTCACGAAATTGGATTTTAACTAAAAAAGTTTTTTAAAATTAAGAAACCTGCTCATCTACTTAGGCTTCTTCTGACAACCCTTTTAAAAAATAAAAGTTTGTTGATTCTTATTGATGCTCCCCACCACCTACTTAACACAGTACTTGTTCTTTCAAAAGGCAAAAACACCTTGCACGGAGGGTGTGAAAAAACTGGGACCACACTCAGATGTGTGCTTCAATTTCCCAGATGTTGGTCAAGTTTGCAACACCAACAGAACCGGGTTGGTCAGTCTGACAACTTTTGAATTTTCTGACAAATACTTTTAAGCTACCACTTGATATTAGTGGGGTAATTTTCAGGCTACTCATGAAAGAAGTAATTCTTTTTCCAATGAAGCATCTTTTAATCCTAACAAATTTTCAGATTAGGTATAACACCACTTTAGTTTTGATACACACAAAAATTTGAATAATCAGAATATTGAGACAAAGCAAAACAAGGAGCAAATAAATATAATAACACATGCTTAGATGTGCACAAAAATAAATGAAATGCAACTGATCAAAGCCAAAAAAATTAAAGAGAAATGAAAAGAAAGCTCCCATTACAGGGACACAGAATAAAAGTACAGTTACCTTGTCACTCAACTAGGAACAGAATTAAAAAGAGAGATCTTAGAAAATAATTGTCTTCACACTTCATTTCTGAATACAATCATACAACTGACAGGTGCAACATTTTTCTCCTATAAGTAGGGTAATGCCCACTTTTGGTGTAAGTCAAGATTTCTGTCAACCCCCAAAATCTGGGTTAGCCTGCTTGTCTTTAAAAATGACCAATTGTGTACATGAAGGATGTAGAACAAAAGAAACTGAAATAATGTTTCAGTCCATACATAGGCCTACTTAAGAAAAACCTGAAACAAGAAACTATTGTTACAAAACACCAAATTCTCAAATAAATGGCGAGGAATCTCTCTCGGAGTTATGACAGTTTGATGTCCGTAAAAAGACATTTAACATGGGAACATTTTCCACTGTACTATCCTCCCAAAAAGAGACCCTTTAAAAACTTGAGGTCACTAAAATATCACGCAAAAGATACAAACAAAAAATAATCTCAGGGCCATGAATTCTGGCGTCGGTGGCCTTGTGTTTGAGCTCTTAATCAGCTGCTTGCACTGTATGCTTCCCGGGAAGCTGAGAATGTTTCGGAGTGTTCTATGGTCTGCTGGGGTAATAATATAGTGTAAAAGGCATAGAGCCTGCTGTTGAGCGGAGATATGCGCTATACAAATGCTACTTATTATTATTATTAATCAAGGAGATTTTTTGAAAAAGTTCAACTTGAATGCAAAGTTTCAACCAATTCTCATTCCAACTTTGAAAACGGTTCTTCATGTCCCAGGAAAGACAGTAAGCAAAAAAAATAAGGCATACGGTTCTTTATATCACCAAGCACACTACACGAATTTGTAACTGGTTTTGTGCTAAAACTAGATTCCGTTTGAAGCATGGGACCTGCAAAAGAGCTCTTTCCATGACAATGTGAACTATTTTACATGTGCTGGCAAGGAAAGGACAATCTACTGTTTGATACAGTTTAGCAGTACTATCAAGAATATTCAAGGATAAAGAAAAAAGCATTAAAAAATGTAAAATTTTAAAGAAGGTACCCTGTAACTTAAATATTAACTACTTAACCCCAGCTCTACCCCACAAGATTTGAATAATAACGGCTCTGAACATCTGAACCCAGAGAGCTAAAAACACTTGGGTATAAACTCAAAGTGATTTCATAAACATAAACAGTAAGATAAAGAATTGTTTCACATAATACTTAAGAAGAAATGAGGGAGCGATCTATAAAAATACCGGTTTAAAAAAAAAGCTAGTCTTACATCATCCAGCTCCATGTGAGTAGAAGGCACTGATTTCATGATCTCCTTGTACACCTCCTGGATTTCATCACTGAGGAACAGGTTCTTGTCTAAGTTTTTCACCGTCAGAGGATCAATCTGAACAGACATATCCACATTTTTATATCAGTCTCCGGCAAATTTTGAATTAAAAGCTCAGGTAATGCTTTAGCAGAATTGAGGTAATAAATACTGGGGAGGGGGAGGGGGGGGGGGAGGGGGGGGGGTGGGATCCTACAACTGATGTCTTAAATTTCAAATGAAAAATTGAATGTTTTAAAACAAATGGGGCAACACTTCATTTCAGATAAGGAGACTGCACAATTCATCATTCAGTATTCAAGAAGCTATTTGTTTTTCAGTCACAAGTAATATAAAAAGCTCATTTATTTTCTTCTTATTTTCTTTTTATTATCTATCATTTTACTTTCCAGCTTCTCCATGAGGTCGTAGCTATATTATTCTACTCTACTCTACTTTGCAACATTCAACATCAGACTGGAGCAAGGAGCAGCATGCAACCTCACCCTCCCCCTTATGATGTATAGATATCAGTTCATTTAATTTCAACAGAAATTTTTTTTTGCACAATGATTACATTCTTACTAAATACTCATTTTCCCAGTACCAAGTGTGACTTAAAAAAACAAAAACAATATACACTTCCACTTGAGAGATTTGGCTGAATTTGACCTTCGGCTTCACATTCTACAGAAGTATAAATAATAATAAAGAAATCTTACCTCCTCTAACAAGTCATTGTAGACTGTGGAGTGACACTTGAGTGTGATAGAGGACATGCACACGCGCTCTGACACACGGATATCTGAAGTCCTCACAACACCCTGCAAAAAATCATGGGTCAACAAGAGGTCAAAATAAGTCAATGAAGCTAAACTAAATTAGGAGTAATCTACTTTGTATCATTGATAAACAACCCTTCCCTGATTCAGAAAAAGAAATAAGATCTACTTTCATTATAAAAGGTTACATTTATAGCAAAGTGGAATTATGCTATATTCTTTCCCTGAAATTAAACTTGTTCCACACATAAAATTTCATCTAAAACTGAAGGAGGAAGCAGTTGGTGCAATATGAAAAAGTCCAGGCCCTGAATAGAATTTCATAATGCTATTCAAAATGTATATGTGATATATGAAATTCTTAAACAGTTTTGCTGTTAAATGAATAGAACCTAACAATTAAATCCTTTGCTCATTTCAAAATATTGGCCATAATGGAAACAGTTTGACCAATGGAAAGATTATCTTTAAACTGATATAAGTAAAGGATATCTTGAATTTCCCAATGTTTGGACTGTGAAATTCCTAGTTTTTCTTCTGTGCTGACAGCTCTGCAAGTGGCTGTTTGTACTAGGTAATGTATGAAAATATTCAGCAAGTCAAAATGGTTTTAGTGTTAGTTAAGGATAGGGCCTACAAATTTTGTAGTTCTTCTGGTCATAAAAATTACCTGTAATGCTATCGAAAAGGAAATGAGCAGATTTTACATACCTTGTTTCCCATGTTTGTACTGACGGTATCCGGTTGAGGGTAAGTTGGACCCTGGACAAATACGCTGGCACAAGACAGAGTAAAAAAGCACATATCAGACTGATGTAATTGTCATATTCTTTACATATCACTTCATACATTTATTTTGAGTAGTTTTGCTTTTTTGCTTCTCCTAAAATTAGTAGTTACAGTAGTAGGCATTGTTCCATATCAACAGACTACATGATTTGTGCTGTACTGGTCTACACTTTACATACTGTGCTGATGGCACAAGTGGCTATTTAGGCCACTATCCTTCAGAAAAATAGAGAGAGAGCAAGGAAATAACTGATGCTCTGCTCTCAGCCAGAGTACATAACCAGCATCTGTGGTGTAAGGGTTTGGCTCTCTGCGGTTGCACACAGAAAATGTGAGTTTTGGTTCCCAAGAGGGGAAGTTTTCCTGTCAAATATCTCCATCTGTTTGCTGGGATGTTGTGTCTTGAGTTGGCTCTTATAAGCAAAATCGAATCAGCGTTCCTCCTAAATGATCTAAATGGGGGGCTGTAAAACAATGAATCATTCAGAAGTATTAAATATAAGCCCTTACTGCTACATTCTTCTCTTTCATCTTAAGACTGTTTTCGACTTTCCTCTTCCACTGGCTAATCCCAGGGCTCAAAGAAGGATTGCATACCATGATAGTCTTCAGTCTGATTCTTTAGTTTTTCAGAACTTGTAACCAGAAACCTATATTGAAATATGAAGCTTGCAAAAATCATTAGAATAGATGTAATTTCAAGCCAACTTGTTCTGAATAATAAAGCTCACAATGACAAAGTGATAACATCCAATATGTCAACAAAGTAAACAATCTTGAAATAAAAAAGAGAGAAATCTACAAAGAGCCACTCCACTACCAGGGAGAATGTATAAAATGCAATTACCTTGTCACTCAACATTGAATAACTTTGAAAACATTATATTGAATAAAATCCTTAATTTTGTAAAGTGTGTAAGGAGTCACTTCTCAGCAAGTCCAGACCTTTATGAAAAAAATATAATGATCATCAAGTGCCATATTTGCGACAGACATCTGTGATTATGGATCTCCATTCATTCCTTTGCTCGGATGCTCTTAAATAAGCTGCATTACCCTGATCGTTCCCTATTACCCATCTGTTTAC